TGTAGAAAATCTGTTTAAATCCTCTGCCATTTTCTTGTTGCCCATAACAATCTCCGCAGATTAGATTTATTGGAATCAATTATTAACGGGTAATACCTGAACATTTAGGAAATCATAATCTAATCAATCAGAGCCAGCATGGCTTCATGAAAGGGAAACTGTGTTCGACTACGTTATTCAAGTTTTTCGAGGAAGTCTCAATTAGAGTAGATGTGTTGTATTTGGACTTCCAGAAGATGTTTGACAAGGTACCTCACAAAAGGTTAAGTCATAAGATAACAGTTGGAAAAAGAAATAGGTGCCATTTGTATAGGAATGCATTTCAAAGCTTTCTAACATCAATTTATCTCCTGCCTCTGTCCCAACAGTTGAACTTAGGGAGCTGCTTGGTACTTCAAAATACAAACAGATCCCATACCAAATAATTCTCACCTTTAGAAGGGAAGTAATGCACATGTGTCACCTACTACGTTATACATAGCAGCGAAACGTTGAGGCTGTGAATGGTTCCGATATGTGGTCAGTGTGAAGCGGATCCAGATAAGGGGATCACTAGATTATTTATAAGCTGACATGGTTTTGTCTGTCCAAAAGTTAAAAGATTGTCCATTTGGCAAAGATTGAAAGATTCAACAAAATTCAATAAAAAAGACGGTAACACAGATGGCCTATATAATGTGTTTTAGGGAAGAAAATCTCCTCTTCGTACCAGGCCTGGTCAATTTATACCCCAGGCCCGGTCAATTTATACCCCAGGCCCTACAGCAATGTGACTGAGCCTTAACTGCTTTGTGAAATATCTTGGCAAATAAGTCAGTTCAAGGACTATTAGGGACAATTAACAAATGTTTGTCCAGTCAATGATGCCTACATCTCAAGAAAGAACGAAACTAAAACTGAATAATGTGTCTGATTAGTGTACACTGGTGAAAGAAACAGGCATTGACTGGTTTACAGTACTGCAATTAATTTCTGCTTTTGCCTGGATTTTCAGCATCGCAAATTGTTTTCTGACTATAATCAGGTGTCATGTGGAAAAGAAACACCTTTTTAATTCATTGTTTGAGAGATGCTTACACAGATTTGGGAATATTCACAGCTTCGTGAACCCAACTTGTAAAATGGCTGAAAGCTGTCTGGGAATGGGCTACATTAGAACTTGGCTGGGTGAGCCTGGGATGAGAGTGGAGGCTGCCGGATGCAGGCGCAGGCTGGGCAGAAAGCCAATCTAGTGCACTGGCTCTGTGCTGAAGTTTCAAGGGAAAACAAAAAAATTATATAACATCTGTCCATGGACTGATGGATCTAAACTAAACTGTGGTTTGCCCTGTGATTTGGCATAGATAAATTTCCAAATGAATTTTGATAAACCTCAATATGAAAGTTCATGAATTAAACTGGACGTTGTGTGGATGGACTGGAAACTGATTGAAAGGAATGAATAGGTGATACAGGTCGTATCGTGCCTCAGGGCTCAGGCAGGGAACCCTGCTGTTTCTAATTCATATCAATAAGCTCGATGTTTCTTCACACATGGGATATTAGTGCCAATGCCTTGGCCAGCATTTATAGCACATTCATCACTGGCTTTAGGTGATCGTGAGCTAGAATTAATCTGGATTCAGAAGATGAATACACAGTTGTCAAATTTGCACAAGATACCAAAATAGCAAGGGCAGTGAAAACACAAGAGACAGCTCAGAAATCAAGGAATGAGTAGATAAAATAACAGGAGTAGACCTAAGAATGGGAGTTAAACTGTATAAAGTGGTATACAGATGGGGTGCAAAGACCATAGATATACCATAGATAGTCCTGAAATATGTATCCTGAAGGTCAATGAGAATATTAAGAAGAGGTACAGCTCTGTCGAGAAAGCAGTAAAAATATTGTAAGCAGTAAAAAACTGCATACAAGAAACAAAGCAGAAATATGTCATCATTCCTTCAGTGTCACTGGGTAAAAAACCTGGAACTCCCTACCTAACAGCATTGTGGGTGTGTGCCTAAACCAAATGGACTGCAGCAGTTTAAGAAAGCAGCTCACTACCATCTTCTCAAGAGCAACTAGAGATAGGCAGTACGTTGTGCAGCCAATGATGCTGTGGTACAGCAACTGCTCTGCCCAGGGCCATAAGAAATGACAGAAGGTTGTGTGCACAGCCCAGACCATTACGGAAACCAACATCCAATTGATAGACTCCATCCACACCTCCTGTTACCGCAGAAAGGCTTCCATCATCATCAAAGCTCCCTCCCACCCTGGTAATGCTCTCTTCCAACCTCTTTTGTCAGGCAGAAGATACAGAAGCTTGAACGCAGGTTCAAGAACAGCTTCTTCCCTGCTATTATTAGACTGCCGACTGGACCTCTTTAATTTCAAATAATGTTGATTTTTCTAATGTTGATCTTGCTTTGTGCACCTCCTGTGCAACTGTGACCTTGTATGCCTCACTCTGTCTAAACACTCTATGATCTATAAGTCCTTGTTTGCAATAATCTGCCTGTATTGCTTGCAAAACAAAATTTTTCACTGTACTTAGGTGCATGTGCCAACAATAAATCAAATCAAATCATCCTTGAATTTTTTTTTTCCTTTATTCATTCATGGCATGAGGGTGTTGCTAGCCAGGCAGCATTTATTGCCCAACCCAGTTACCCAGAGGGCAGTTAAGAGTCAACCACATTGCTGTGGGTCTGGAGTCACATCTAGGCCAGACCAGGTAAGGGTGGCAGTTTCCTTCCCTAAAGGTCAATAGTGAACCAGCTGGGTTTTTCCTGACAATCGACAATGGATTCATGGTCATCATTAGATCCTGGTCATCATTAGATCCTTAATTCCTGATATTTATTGAATTCAAATTCCACCATCTGCTATGGCAGGTTTCGAACCCAGGTCCCCAGAACATTATCTGGGTCTCTGGATTAATAGTCCAGCGACAATACCACGAGGCCATCACCTCCCCTTCAAATGAATAAAACAAAACATCAAGCACAGAATGCAGTGCAGATAACAGCAATAAAAGTGGCCTTTAGAATCAGGGATATGAATGATGAAAAAGAAATGGAGAAGTATTGTCTGAAATATTTCCAAAAGGTAGTAAGACCTCATTGCTGTTGTTCCCAACCTAAGGATATCCTGCAGTGGTGGAAGCGTGTGAGGCTCCCCTTCTGATGCTGTCCACTACCATTTGATAAGATTGTCTAACACCCAGCTCATCTCCAGAAATCAAGTAATATCCAGCCTGTAGATCTTTCAATGATAGTTAACTGCTTCAACAAAGATCTCCCATTCATCATAAGGTCAGATGTTCGCTGATTGCATATTGTTCAGCACTATTTGCAACTCCTCAGATACTGAAACAATCCTTGTCCATATGCAGCAAGATCTGGACAACAATATGACTTGGGTTTATAAGTGGCAAGTAGCATTCATGCACAATAGTACCAGGTAATCACTATTTCACATAACAGAGGATGTAACCATCTCTTTCAATATCCAATGCATTACCTTTGCAGAATCTTTCCCTACCAGCAGCCTAGGGTTTTACCATTGCTCAAAAAACTGAATTGGGCTTGACATAAAAATAGGTCAGTGGTTAGAGGTTTTGAGGCAAGTAACTGTCTCTCCAATGCCTGCCCACCATCCACAAGGCAGAAGTGCGATAGGATACTCTTCCCTTGCCTGAATGGTTGCTGCTCCAACACTATAGTAGCTCAACACCATCCAGGAAAAGGCAGCTTGCTTGATTGGCAACCTATTCTGTCTTAAAGATTTCCCCTTCAATATCAATGCACTGTGGTAGCAGAGTGCACTAGCTACAAGGTGCACTGCAGCAACTCACCAAGACTCCTACAAAGAACTTTACAAATCAACGACCATTACTACCTCCTCTAAACCACATACCATTCTGACTAAGAATTACAACACCATTATTCCAATGTACTTGGGTTAAAATCTGCAAGTCCTTTCCTAACAGAACTGTGGGTGTACCCTCATGGACAGCACCAGTTCACCACCACTCTTACGAAGAACAGTTAGGAATTAGGACAATGAACGCTTGCCCACCCAGTAATGCCCATATTGCATGAATTAATTTAAAAAACTTGAAGATTACATTAATCTAAACTCAAGAAGTAGAAACAGAGGACAGAGGTAAATTAAATATCAGAAGGTGGAGAGCAATAATGAGCTGGTACGAAAGAGGAGTTGAGGCCTGGGGTAGAGGAGCCAGGAACTTGTTGTATGTCGGACATGCTAGAGAGAGCTAATAGCCTACTCCTGGTCCTATTTCTGATGTTCTTATGTTCTTTGCAACCTGCTTTCACATGCAAACACTTCCCATATTGCATTGCAGCTTACAAGCTCCACTCGAAGTGTGAAAGTTGTCTGAAGTTACAAAAATTCCAGGCAAACTCAACCATGCATGCGGAACATCCCAATCCCTCTGCACTGCACTTGTTTGAAGTCTCTCTTTGATTAAGTCATAGGCTGCCTTTTGATTTTTCCTACCAAGGTATATGACCTGACACTCTTTCACATTAAATTCAATCTACCAAGATTTTCTTCCCTCACTCAACTAATCCATGTTTCCTTTCAGATTATTTATGTCCTCACTGCAAAATGCCCTCCCATTTCTTGTATCATCAGCAAATTTTGTAAGCTGCAAGAAGGCCTTATTCATATGCTGTGAGCCTGAGAAGAAAATCTGGGCCCTTATGTTCAAGGATCTGCTGGTTTGTAACCAGTTGCTGGAATAGCTTGTAATTTTGTCTATTATCAGTGGGAGAGCCAACATTTCTACATCCCCCCGTTCTGGAAAGTACACTGTCCTGTCCAAGAGCAGTTTCAAGATCAGCAAGTTATGTAGAGCACATTGTGGTCGTAAACCATTATTAAAGATATGACTCCAGCATTGCCAATGGAATTTAATACTGTGTGCCAGGACTTGCTCCAACTTTAGAACAGAGAATAAGCACCAATTGACAAAATTGTGTTACCTGGAGTCTCACTGCCTCTTCAGACCACCAGACTTCAAAATCCTTTTGCATCATCATCTTGGACTTTTCTAAGAGATGCTGTAAATGCTCGATCTCTGTCTTCAGTGCTTTCAGCCGATTGAAAGTCATTTTATAGCTGGACAGGGATTAAAGTACATTAGTCATATTGCAGTTGAGTGAACTGGGGGATTTCACAGAGGTGCTCATGATGAGATGTGACCTGACTGTTTAGGAGTCACCCAAAGTATGCATTGTGCTGGTGTACTAATCTTATTTTTATAGCTTGTAAGCATTCAATATTACAACTTATCAACCAATAGCACACAAATAATTTGAGTACTATGGTGTTCTTTGGTGGGACCTGGAATTGGGAACGTTTACAATGGAGACTGCGAATCCACCTCCAAGGAAACCTGAACAATGTTTTTAAGCTCCAAACTGGTACCGATAAAACAGAACACTGATACATTGTTTGATGTAACCACTAAGGCTGTAATTAGGGAGAACAACCTGTGGTTCAAAAAGAGAAGTTGAACATTCCATTGAGATTTAATCACCTTACAAGGATAAAAAGGGATAAACAGCCCTGGTGTATGTGCTTACATATAAAAACCGGGGTGACTGGTGCCACCAAGAACTGGGGACAACTACAAATGTGCACTTATTCGGGAATGGACTGTTTCAAGCACTGACTGAATGATGGACAGCCTACCTGTCTTGACTCTTTCTGCCATATTAGGGACTGCTTTGCTCGATAGAAGTAGTCGGCCTAATGAGCGATGTTTGAATATGTGCCATACTGTCTGACTGGACTCCTAATCATTTACCAAATACATCAAAAAGGTTTTAATTGAATATTTTTCCCCTTTGTTTTTGAGGGTTCAGTGCAACCAATCACAGTTTTAATGGGCTGCATCCAAGCATTCTGCTCTCAATTCCCAAAATTAAGTCCAGCCCATGTTGAGTTGGTCTCAATCAGCTCCTGCTCCTCCTTCAGGATCATGACCAGGATCCTGCATACAGCTTTTCTATGTACTGTCAGGACACTATGCCATTCCTTCCTGACAACCAATCTGTACTAAAATGGGAATCCTGAGAGATCTGACACCTTTAAAGTAAGAATTAAATAAAAATATCGGAATTGAAGGTTTCATCATGTTGCTCGATCTGTGTACTTCTGCATTCCTTAAAGGTATGAAGGTACGCATGGATCAATGTTAGAAAAGTGATACAGACATTAAAGCAGGTTGGTTGGAAATGCATGTTACCCTTGGAGTATGTGATAACAGCAAATAAAGATACCAACTAGATCCTGTAATATTTATCCATTATGCATATAGTCTGTACCTTGTGAGTGATTTTGTAAAAATAAATAATTCTGACTTTCTACTGCACTTTTCAGGTCAGGTCATGAGCCACCACTGCTGACTTGAATCTCCGCCTCCATCAGGGTTACTCTAAATCAATACATTCACAGGTATATAATCGGAACCAGATTCCCTTTTCCTCCAACTGGTTTGGAGTCTTTTTCGGGAACCACATCAACTATGCTCATTTACTGCTTCAAGAGAAGTGGTTGAAATTGATGTGGGGATCAGGGGCAGACAAGGTGATGGGGTTGTTAGGTGGAGGCACAAAAAGTCTGCAGTGGTTTAAAAATGGAGGAGGTGTATTTGTTTTTAATTCTGAACCACACTGAACCCCAGCCTCATCGCAAAAGGGAATGTGTTTTTCACAGCACCACGTGCTATTTGATAAGCAGGTGGGGGGGTAGCATTATTCTGTAATGGGAGGTCACTCATGAAAGTGTCATCCTCAGCTTTGGAGAGGAAGGGCTAGCCTAGTAATTGAATTAATTAATTAAGTAATAATTGTCAGAATTCTGCCAGTTAAATAATATTAACTAAATTAATAATGTGGTACAGTGTTAAACAGGCACATCCACCTACCTTTCTACTCAATTGTTCGATACTGCATTTTTTAAATTTTACATAACAGGTTTAGATTAAAGAAAACAAGGTCACCAACCTCTTTTTTTCTTCCTCTATTTTCTCTCGAAGTTCATTTTCTAAGTGATCTGGTTCAGTGACAGCTGCTGGCTCGCTGGTCACACCTGGTGAGATATTGTGGAAGAAAATACTGAAGTGCAGCATAAAAAGGTCCCCTTTGATGAAATTCCTTTGTGGAATTTATTTGCTGTCAGTACATAAGACATATTTTCAAGGCTCCCCATGATGAAGAAAATAAAGGCACCAATGACAGAAGCTTAAGAGAAGGTCAACTCTTATCTTGTGGTAGGAATTTCTCTCATCACCATGCTTAATGATATCATATAATGATATCATGTGTATGTGATTTTGTCAAATCATATATTGATCCTTTTAGAATATGCTAATCATTTTGCTGAAAACCACAGACAGAGGAGGTCTTACTTTGGTGCTTTTAAAATGCAGCTGGCACACAGCAACTAAGATATTGTCCACTGGTGTCAGCTGTAGAACTCTTGAGTAGTTCTAAAGGTTTGAGAACATAATTAAGGTTGACACTCCAGCTCAGTACTGAGTCAATGCTGCCCTTTCAGGCAGACTTAAAAGATTCCATAGCACTGAATGAAGAAAACAGCATTCGCTCTGATGTCTTGGTGAATATTTATCCCTCAACCAAACCTAAAACAACTGTTTTGGAAATTCATTTATTGCTGATTGGTGCAGTTTGTTGTGCATGATTTGGCTGCCAATTCCAGCCTTACAACAGTAGTTACACTTCAAAAAGTTCGAGGTTGGTTGTAAAGCAGTTTGGGATATCCTGAGGTTATGAGGGAGGCACTTATTGAACACTAGTCTTTATTTCTTTGTTCATGGGAGCAAGGTAGAATTTTAAAACAGAAGGAAAAGAGTATAGTTAACGTGAATAAAATATTCTCATTAAAAAGGGCAGAGGGGAAATGGCCAACAGAACTTCCATTTAAAGTCATCCTGTTCTGTTGCATATGAGACTGAAGAGTTAATACTGAGGAGTGTCATAAGCACTACCCACTGCGATGATATCATATAAACTTATGAGCAGAACGGCTTAGGGTCTCAAAAGAGTGAGACCTATGATTCAGGTCCTCTTCCTGGTCTCTGCAACAATGTCTATCATATCAGCATACACTGTAACTAGTTGCTACAATATAATAAATCATAGCTTGTTAACTATAAAAGACTCATCTAGTTAGACCAGGAAGTGGTTTTCCTTTATCACACTGAAAAAGCACATAAGTACATAAACAGGATGGTAGCAGTAACAATCATCATGAGCAGCAGGTTGGGTGACTTACCCACACAGTATCCTTCATGTATATATTCTCTTTAAAGAAACAGAAGTTTTAAAAAAACAGCAACTACATCTTTACTATAATTTTATAATTAACATTTTGAACAGCTCTAAAGTTCCAATTAATTCCATGGGCTGAGTTAAAACAACAATTGATCACCACGTCTAGCTGAGCTGACACCTTCAGGGATCGATGGACTTGGATGCTAAAGTCCTTTTGTAGCCCAGTACTCCCTAAGACCTACAGTAACCTGCCATTCATTATGTAAATCCTTCCTTTATTAGACCTTCCAAAATGCATCACCTCAATAATAAAAATAATATATCAAATCAAATCATATTTATCAGGACTAAATTCCATCTGTCATTGCTCTGCCTAAATTACAGCTGATCAATATTAGATTGTCACCAGAGACCCATCCTCCTCAGGATCAGGACATTCCAGGATCTTCAATTATTATTGTATTCTTATTGCTTTTGTGACTTAGGTCATTGTACATGACTGACTGCCCAGACTCAGAGCTTATAGGGTGATGGTGCTAATTTATTTTTATGATTAGTCAATGCCTCGAGCTGGTACAATAGTGCCAATCTATTCATAATGTGGAGATCCCAGTGCTGAACTGGGGTAGACAAAGTCAAAGGTCACACCAGATTATAGTCTAACAGGTTTATTTAAAATCACAAGCTTTCGGAGCGCAGTTCCTTCATCAGGTGTCGTCTGAAAACTTGAAATGAATCTATTCATATGTTGACTAGTAGCCCACTGATACCCAGAGCTATAATTATAATGCAACCAATTCTTATGCAACTGTTAGCTGATTAAAGCTAGAATAGAATTTCTTTAATGTATTTATTCTTCAGCCAGATGTCACACTCGCAAGGCAGTATGGATGGCATATTTCTTCCTATTTGCCCTTGAGTGTACAAAAAGCCACCCACATAGTGAGACAAGAAACATGTTACGCTGAACTACATAGAAGTGACAAGTCATTGAAGTTATCTTTTAATGGTTCAAGTTGACAGATTTATTATGTTCAGTGTCACAATTTCAAAAAAACATCTTGAATTAAGAATCTAATGATGACCATGAAACTGCTGTCGATTGTCCGTGAAAATATCCATCTGGTTCACTAATGTCATTTAGGGTGACATTTTTCTGATGAAGGGTCTAGGCCCGAAACGTCAGCCTTCCTGCTCCTATGATGCTGCTTGGCCTGCTGTGTTCATCCAGCTCGACACCTTGTTATCTCTAGGGTAGGATACTGTCATCCTTACCTGGTCTGGTCTGCATGTGAGTCTGGACCCACAGCCATGTGGGTGACTCTTAACTGCCCTCTGGGCAATTAGGGATGGGCAATAAATGCAGGTCTAACTAGCGAATATTCATTCAAAAGAAAGTTCCTCACTTTTGTTCAGGCAACACCAGTAAAACTGGAGTAAATGCTGCATACTTTACTCAGAGAGTAGTAAGGGCATGGAATGCCCTGCCTGCAAAAGTAGTAGACTCACCAACTTTAAGGGCATTTAAATGGTCATTGGATAAACATATGGATGATAATGGAATAGTTTAGGTTAGATGGGCTTCAGATTGGTTTCACAGGTCAGCACAACATCGAGGGCCGAAGGGCCTGTACTGCGCTATAATGTTCTATGTTCTATACTGCATGCCACTAATTTTTCTGCATAGGGGTGGTAAGTATAATCTGCCTCGATGGTATACCCACATGGTATTTTTATTGGGGCAATTGCAAGCAATTAAGGCTCTTGATGATAAAGTGTGTATATTTTATTAATTGTTTCCATTCTTTTATAACTTCAATCAGATGTTATCATGGCTGAGATTTCAAACAGGGAAAAATAAACCTCACTAGAGTTAATTCTTAAGCCTCTCTACTTCTTTACATTTGTATATTTTCACAACCTTGTAGATGCTGTTTTCTCACTTAGAACATCAGTTTTTACATGGTTTCTGTTTCTCTTCCAGTTTGTATTCTTATTCCTATCCTCAATGTCTTCAAGCTTGCTTCTCCCTTTTCCTCTGATTCTCTCTGACCATTTCTAAGTATTGTTATGACTATTAGTTCTCTCCCTTTGTATGGTTTTAGGCAATATATTGTCAAAATCATCTGGCTTCATGACATATTATTGTTTCAGAGGTAACTTTTAGTTTTGGTTACATTTGTAAGAATAAGGTAATTATAATCCTGGACTTTAGAAACTACCAGAACTCCTCAAGTATGGTAGTTCAAAGGGTGATCTGTCTTTAGATAAAAAGGACAGGGTTGCAAGTGAGAAAGCTTAACAATGAATGACCCATCTCTGAGCCTTTGACAGAACCAGGAGGTCTACACTAACCGTAATAAAACATTTGAATTATTTATGCAGTTTCCAGGTCAAAGGAGCCAAAAGTATCTTTATAAACAAGGAAGTTTCTTCATGTAACCAGGGCATCTGGAGAGAGCTATTAACTCCACCAGAGATTTAGCCCAGAATCAAAAGAAGTCATTTTGAAGGTACAAGATAGTCCATCTACAATTCTGTATGAAACATCTCAAGTTGCATTAGATAAAGATTGTAGGGATTAGAGTGGCTTCCTTATTTAATTTCTCTGTGTGCGTTTTTTGTTCGCTGAAGCAGAGATGGAAATTGCAACTTTGAATCTTCAGCAGTTGCAGATCACTGAGATGCAAAGCAAAAGAGATAACTTTTAGCAGGTCTACATCTTTAGTAGGTAAAATACAACTTTAATGCGCATTGCACCGATTGTATGTAGGTTCCCAAACTCAGTTTAGAGTCAGAGATGATGAAGGAATGGGGAAAGGGGGGAGGCAGTGGCCTAGTGGTAACGTCACTGGACTAGTAATCCAGAACCCAAGGAAATGTCCTGGAAACATAGGTTTGAATTCCCCTGTGTCAGATGGTGAATTAAATGAAGATATGCATTTAACCTAATGGTGACCGCATAACCACTTTTGACTGTTCTAAAACCTACCTGCTCCATGTACACCATACAGGGAAGGAAATCTGCCACCTTACCTGGACTGACCTACATGTCTCTCCAGACGCACAGCAATGTGGTTAACTGTTAACTACCCCCTGGGCAATTAGTTCAACTGGGGATGGGCAAAAAAAATGCTGTCTTAGCCAGCGACACCTCTATTTAATGAAGAAATAAAAAAGGAGGCTGCATGATTTGTTTAGCCTGGAGCTAGAGGGTTAAATCTAAAACTAGGGTGTTTCTCATTTTCAGTTGAAAATGAAGCTCAAGCTGATCTTACAAGGCAACCATGGAAAAGCTTGAAGTTTTCTAAGTAGACAAAGGGGACATGCTGTATGGCAACTTGAATATTGTTGAAGACTCTTAATATTCAAGTTGAAGTTTTCTTGTTTTATGAACAAAATATATTTTTAGCAAAAAGAACCCCTTCCAGCCAACTGAGGTCTAAAAATATACAAAAGACAAAGAAAATAAACTGTGAGGGCAAGCTAGCAAAAAATATAAAAACTGACAGTAAGAGATTCTTTAAATATATTAAAAGGAAGACAGAGATAAAAGTGAACATACAGCCCTTAGAAAATGATTCTGGGGAGATGGTTATGGGGACAATGGAATGGTAGAGGAGTTAAACAGATATTTTTAATCAGTCTTTGTGGTAGAAGATAATTTGAACATCTCATTAATAGTCAAGAATGCTGAGGAGGAATCAAGTACCATCGCCATCATGAAAGAAGTAGTTTTAATCAAACCAATGGGGCTGAAGGTAGATATGTCCCCTGGCCTTGATGGCTTGCATC